TTTCATCATTCTTAGGCTGTCTAGATGAAGTAAAATTTTGGCTGGACCAAAATTTTTTGTTTTTAAATGAAACCAAAACAGAGATCATTGTTTTCGGGCCCACTGTTAATCCCCAGGCTGCCACCCTCGACCTAGGCAGACTAGCGGCGTTTAGATCCTCAAGTGTTCGGAACCTGGGCGTTCTACTGGATGAGTCTTTAAATTTTGATAAACAAATCTCCTCGGTAATAAGCTCTAGTTTTTATCACCTACGTCTCTTGTCAAAAGTCAAACCTTTTCTTAATCCTAAAACTCTTGAGATGGCTGTTCATGCTTTTATCACCACACGTGTAGATTACTGCAATTCACTTTACTGTGGTATCTCGAAATCCCAAACTGCTCGTCTGCAATTGGTGCAAAATGCCGCCGCAAGATTCCTCACAAATAGTCGTAAAAGTGATCATATCACCCCAATTCTGCGGTCTCTTCATTGGTTGCCCGTTAATTTCAGAACTGAGTTTAAAATCCTGTTATTTGTGTACAAAGCTTTATGCAACCAAGCACCTAGCTACCTAACTGAACTGCTACAACCGTATACTCCATCGAGAAGTCTCAGATCAGGCGAACAAAATCTGTTACAAGTCCCTCACTGCAGACTTAAACGCAGAGGGGATCGAGCTTTTTCTGTGGTTGGGCCTCGGCTGTGGAACAATTTGCCCTTAGACGTTAGGATAGCCCCTTCTGTGATCTCTTTTAAGTCACTTTTAAAAACGCACTTGTTTTCTTTGGCCTATAATTAAGGTTGTTTATGTATGAGTATCTTTGTATATACATATACCTATATGTGTGTGTGTGTATGTTTATATGTCCTTTCTGTTGTTTATTTTTGATAACTCTATGATTGCTTGTGCTTCTTCCGTTCTAAGCTGTTCTTATCTTTGCTGTACTGTTCTATGATGTGCTGCTATGCATGGTGTTAGTGTCTTTTAATTTTGTTGTTCTGTAAAGCACTTTGGTCAGTCATTGGCTGCTATAAAATGTGCTATATAAATAAAAATGAACTTGAACTTGAACTTGAACATTATGTTTGGATTGTGCTGGGTTAGTTCTAATTTGTTAATAAAAGTAGGGGGAAACACAGACGTTATATACTTAAAATGTAGCTACAACACAGCGTTTCATTTTGCAAAATGAAAGTCCTTGGTTTTCATTTTTGGAGGTTAGTACACTCATTTTACCAGGAGCGAGTTAGGACCTTCCACAAATGATAACCTGTTCAATGCGGACGTGAACCTGCAACCTGCCTCATAGAGCAAACTTCTCACTATGACTGTTTATCTGTCTACCTTCAATATTTCCAAACAATGACATTGTCTAACAAATTTGTAAAGGGAATAGTGGCAAGGCAAGTTTATTTATAAAGCACAATGCATACAAAGTGGAAATTCAAAGTGCTTTAGAATAAATCCGATGAAAGAACACCAAGAATGTGCGTTGAAAGAACATAGAGAAATAAAAGATTAAAGTGGGCCTACTATAAAAATAAATGAAATATGCCTAAAGGATAAGAAATTCTGAAGCATTCTGGATTCTGAGTGGAAAATTAAGTGGTCATGATAGGCGTTTCTTTAGATAAACGATATACAACGCAATAATAGGTAGTTTCGTATAGCTTAATGGGCGCTACAATTTTGCAGGTCAAATCTTACATTGGCGTGATTTAATTAGGACCTAAGTAAGATTCCATCTCTCTAACTATAGACAACTCAAAAGATCTGGAGTGGTTTTCTTATGTGTCTGTGGCTTGCTTACAGACAACAGAAAGGTTTTGTAGTTCCTTCACCACACAACATAATAAATTTTAGGCCTATACTAAATATAATATACAATAAAACAATTTCTACAGTTATTTATACACATAAGCTATAAACATATAGGCCTACGTATGCTATACACCCCGAACATGTATTGTATTTTATTGAAGAGTCCATCTTGACTGCGTTAGTGCACCAAGCATCATCGATGTAAAACACAAAGTCCACTTCTGCTCATCTTGCTAGAGTCTTGCGCGGACAGATCGAAACATGGACCAACTGCCAAGTGCTTGATCGGGGATGTTGATGGGGCAGGTCTCTGTAACAATGTGGACAAAACAGTCTCTGAATTCATTTGTTTGGTCAACATGAGTCACATTTTGTCCAGACTGCATCTTTAGGAGCAGAATTAAGTCCAAGCTGGGCCAGCATGTCTCCTCTCCTGGCTCTCTGTCCTCTCCTCTGAGCGATCACTGCACCCGTGTGGTGGGTTGGATTAATGTGGTCTGTTCTTGTTATTTACTGATTGGGTGATAACAGTTCAAACTGATTGGCTTTGGAAAAGAAAGGGTGGAGCTCATTATCATTTAACACTATGCGTCATTGGGGACACTGAGCCCCGTTAAAAAGCGGCGTTACATGAGCACATAGAGCGACGTTTTTTTCGCCACCTCCATACCGACGAGAAATGCGTCGTTGTTTACATAATTCCACAGCGCTTTTTACGTTTTGCCGTTCAAACGGCGCTTTTTACGCTGTTTTTTTTAAACAAAACAAGGTAGGAAAGTAGCGTATTGTGAGCCTTTTAGCCTTCCATACACTTGCAGCGAATGTACTCACGCGAGAAAAGCATCGCGAGGCGAAAATTCGCGTTTGGTCTGACACCGGCATAAGAGGACTGATGCCTCACTGTAAAAAACAAACTCTGTTAAAAGTAAAACTACTGCATTGAAAATTTAAGTAAAAATATACAAGTAGTCTAAAAGCAGGAAAATGTGGAAGTAGCCCATTAAAAATAAAATTAGAGAAAGAAAAATGTCCCCTATGACTATCAAGCTATTATATATTATATCATTAGATTATTCTTCCTCATGCATTAATGTAGTTGGTGGAGGTTGAACAATTTTGTATCAGCAATTAATGTTTATTGTTATATGTATTAATCTGCTGATTGTTTACTCCATTAAATCGATTGCAAAGATGGTGACAATTGTGAGAAATGTTGTCACAATTACCCAGAGCCCAAAGTGACACCTTTTACAATGCTTGTTTTCTAAAAACCTCAAATAATTAAAAATACATTAAAATAATCAAAAGTAAAACCTGCAGATCTTCAGGTTTGTGATGATGAAAATGACTAATACCAAAACAGTTGCAATTACCTTTCTGTCAATTAGCCTAAGTAATGTAGGCCTACTAGCTGTACTTGTATAAACTGTTAAGTAATTTACTTTATAACAAAACATCCTATTTTTTAAACTCTTCATATGTTTTGTGTGTAAAAAGCTTATTTTTTAAAGTAACTAGTAACCGAAGCTGTCAGATAAATGTAGTGAAGTAAAAAGTACAATATTTCCCTTTGAGAGGTGGGGGAGTAGACGTAGAAAATGGCATGAAAAGAAAACACTGAAGTTAAGTACAAATGTCTCTAATATGTACTTAAGTAGGGCCTACAGTCAGTAAATGTACTTTATCACTGTCCTCCACTGGGCTTGGCTTTGGCTACCTAAAACTAAGGAAAGGACTTGAGATATGTTTCTGTATTTTGGCTCTGGATCAAAAGAGGGAATTGGGTGGGGCCGAGGGGCTGCTGCTGCACGTGTTTGAGTACTTCCTCCTCTAACAGATGTAATCTTACTCCAAACTTTTGATAAAACTTGAGAGCCCTGCAACAGACTACTGCATAGAAGACTGCAGATGCCACCAGAGTCATAGAAAGATTAGGCAGCAAAACTACTTGGTGAGGTTTAGACATAAATTATGGTTTGGTTTAGGGCTGAACGATTAATTGCATTTGCGATATTATCGCGATGTAATAAAACGAGATTTTCTAATCGCAATGGCTGCGATTATTCTCTGGTCACATGACACCCAAGACGAAAGCAGTCTGACGAAGTTGATGTCTGGTCCGGTGTTGTCGGAGAATTTCTAAGCTTGTCTATTAAACACGACAGTCGTCACTCTGTTTTATTTTGAACCTCAAACTGAGTATTTTTTCTTTTCTCACTGGGATACAGAAAGATGGACTCCTAGGAGATTTGAACTGGGATAAGGACTTATTAATTGCTGGTTGAAATGTGGGTTTTGTACTGAGCATTTACTGTATAACACACTGTGGTCTGTAGGTAGGGCGACCTGATGATATATCATATTATTTAATGCCATGACTTGACTCAAATTATCATCAATCTTACCTGAAGTTTTCTGGTATTTAAATTACTTTTAGCGTTCAACAATGACACTGAAAGGCTTCCCAATGCTTTAAAAACTCACCAAAGGGTCTTGACCATGGTACGTTATTTGATGACTTCAGAGTGAGAATGGGTTGAGCCTGACTTTAAAAAGTTTAAAGGTTTTCTAAATTCCACATATATCCTTGTTAAAATCATTGCTAGCCTCATCAACAAGGTCCAGGTTCCCCCACTGACACTCCCCCCTTGCAAATGATACGAATGTCTTTGCACATGTCGTGTCATGCACAGACCTGGCACGTTGCACATATTTGTTGTTGATTGTTGATCTTTGTTGTTGTATATTTTTATGTCGTCAGTTTATATATTTATATGTACACAATATTCTCTTCCGTTGCAATACTTCTGCACGACACAAACCCAGAATAATGCAACAGTGTTCTTTCTCTGCTAACAGTTTTATCGTATTATTTTGTTATTCTTATATAACTTGCACTGTCCATTCCATATTTATGTATTTCTACATTTATTTATGTTGACTGTATGTTTTTCTACGCGTAGCACCTTATGACCAAAGCAAATTCCTCGTATGTGTAAAACACTACGTGCCAATAAAGCCTTTCTGATTCAGATTCTTCTGATTGTTACTTGAGTTTCAGGTTGATTGATTTTACTGTATTCTGCTCATCAGCAGGTATTTGTAGGCTTTTAGCAGATAAACTCCATATCAGTAATGCATGGCTCTTTTTCTGCTGTTGACATCAGATCATAACAAAATGTTCAATTCTCGTTCCAGTGTCTCTTTCTGGTTTAGAGGCTCAGGTGAAGTCAAGTTCTTTGGGAATCTGTTCTGTGCAGCAGCAGAGAGAGAACAGCAGACAGGAGAGAAGATACTGGAGCTGTTATCATCAGTGTGCAGATATCAAACATTCCCTCTTAGATACATGAATGATGAATATTATCGTTGTGGTTTCCTGCTGGATCTGTGCTCCCACCTGAAGGACTATGAGACTAAAACAGGTTTGAGGGTCCTTCCATCATTACAGTCAGTTTTCCAGTCAGCTCCTGCAGTCTGGTCCATAAACCTCTCAGAGAGAAAGACCTCCATCCTCCTGGAAGTGCTGAAACTCCAACCAGAGAAGAAACCAGTGGAGCTGACAGGCTGGTCAGATGAAGAGAGTGAAGTGAGGAGTTTCCTACAGTGTCTGCCTTATATCTCACAGCTCAGGTAAATGAATTGTACTTCACATGACTTCAGTGCAGCCTTTCCCTGAGTTACATGAGTGAACTCACTGGATTGTGTTGGGTGTTTAATTTGTATGTAGCTTATAAACTTGTTGGTATTGAACGCAGTTCTTTTAATGCGAGTAAACACAACCTGCAAGGATTCACCTTAAATCTGGCTCACTACAGCAGCATGAACCCAAAGTAAACATTTTACTGTGGTTAAATTGTAATAAACGGATCAAAATGATGCTGACATAACTTCATCATGATGCTGATTTGCTAAACATATGACTTCATGCTTAGTCAGGTCCGTCAGCAAGATGATAAGCAAACAACTTCTAAAATGCTTGTTCTCTAAATGGCGTTTGGATCGATCAGGGCTATGCTAACTGGTATTGTAGCAAAGTAGAACAACAACTGGAATCAAGTAACAGAAACACATTTTCAGATCTTACCAGGTAGTTCACCTTCCTCGCTTACTTTCTCCAAGTAATCTCCTGTTTTGTCCGGTTTCTATAAAAATATTAACAAGTATCACAGAGCAACTCGATGGCTCGCTGCAGCAGATGAGTGAAGATAAATCCACTTTTATCCCAAATATTTAAATTAATAAGTTAATTTAATAAACTAAAAGAAGTCTGAGCTCCTTCTGCGGGTAAATGTCTCCTTTATAGACCTGAATCCAGTGCAACTGCATGTGTTTAACTGTCCAGAAACTCCAACGCTGCTCCCGGCTCTCTCCTTCAGATCTCCCTGTTACTCAGCAGCTGGGCGAGCAGAGGCTTTGTCCTTCAACTCTGCCTGAAACACGGCGATACACGAGAATGTTTCACTCAAATTAACTATGTTTTCAATATTGTACTACAGCCATAGGTGTCGCTAGACCCTTTTCACTGGGGCACGTGCCCCTGTATCCTTGTGCTGTATCCATGTGTTTTTGGACCTGTAGGGCTCCGCGGTCAAGTTAGCAATGATTTGCACGTCTGCAACGTCTGGTCAAGTTAGCAATAACATACATGCAACGTCCGGTTACACTTTCAACATAAAACTATTGGTTAATGTGAAAGGCACTTTGTTAATGATATGAAATGTAGCAAAAAACGAGTCAATGTTGAAAGCTGGTGATTATAACGGTGATGAGAGGATAGACAGGGGCTATCCTTTTGAGCACAAGAAGAGAAAATAACTCAATGACAGTGACTTTCGGGAACAGCAGTCAGGTAAACTTGTGTTCTCTTTTCTGAAAGTCTGATGTGAGCAGGTTCATGTGCAGCTGCAGGGAATCTCTCTAGTCCGTCTGTCCTGCTACCCAGCAGGGCAGCTCTGTCTGTGTCTTGGTTGCTTGCCAGACTGAACAATATTAGAGTGAAATACAACTGTTTATTACCTTTGATATATGAGACAGGCAACAACGTTTATGAACTGCAGCATGGAAATGATAACTACGTTGTGCGTGAACATGCGCTCATACGTGCGTGCATGAAAAGCGGTGAACGGTGCTACAGTCCACAGCTGGACCTTATTACATTCCAGCAGCAACATTAGTGGGACCAGGCCAGACAGAACACAGCTGTGATGGCACTCCTCACATCGTTTTAAAACGTGACAGTGATGATCTGTCTCTCAGTGAAGGTTTAGTTACAACTCTGGACTAACGCCTGATGGAAAGCAGTGGATTCACATTGACTATTAAAATGTTGATTAGTGGAGCAGACTGGACAACGTGGATGCATATCTCTCAGCAAATAATAAACCTCAAATATTCAGTCAAGTCATGGTATAAATTAGAGCTGGACAATAAAACAATAACAATAATTATCACAGTATAATTTTCCTAAATAACAAGATAAATGTTTATTTGAATCATGAACGAATTAGCACTTTTTCTTTTAAGCTATTTATTTTGTTAAGGAAAAAGGGACTGAAAAAAAAGATGTAACTTAATTTTACTCATGCATATTTGTTGAAAAAAAGAGTTTAACATTATTGTTTTGAATGTTCTACCTCAGATTTGTGAAGTGATCCACTGTTTGGCAAGTGATTTTCATGTTCTGACCATAAAATAGTTTAAACCACAATTAACTATCTGGTTACAGTTACATTACATTTACTCATTTAGCTGACGCTTTTATCAAAAGCAACTTAGAATTGCTATACAGTCCCCTCCAAAAGTATTGGAGCGGTAAGGCAAATTCCTTTGTTTTTGTTGTTCACTGAAGACATTTGTGTTTAAGATCAAAAGATGAGTATGAGACAAGAGTTCGGAAAAACAGGAATTTGCTTTACCGTTCCAATACTTTGGAGGGGACTGTATGTCGGGGGTTGCACGCCTCTGGAGCAACAAGTGTCTCGCTCAGGGACACTTTGTTGGATGTCACAGAGGGAAGTGACCCTGGGTTTCTCACACCAAAGGCATGTGTTCTATCCACTGCACCATCTCCACCCCTTCAGCTTTCACTAAGGAGCAAAAGTCAGCCTTTAAACTTGATAGGAACCTAATTTGACATTTGTCCTGATAATTATTGATATCGAATGATATGATTTTTTTATTGCGATAACAATTTTGTCGATATCGCCTAGCCTTAGTATAAATAATATTTTAGCTTTGAAAATGCTAAAGGAAACCCGCGGAGCCAGTTTGAATGGGCCTGAAGCAACTGATAAAATTAATATCTTAAGCAAGTATTGATATCTATTATTTGCAGGGGCTATACTGAAGTTTGGCAGTAGAGTAGATTCTGGATCATAAGCCCGTACGAGCACAGTTGATCCAGATCCAGCACAGACCCAGTCCAGACGTCTTTAGCAGGTCACACAGACCCAGGTGAAACACAGGCAGCCTCAGCCAGTACGAGCACAGCCAGAGATGTTCAGCCAGCATCAGACTTCTAGAAGAGGTTTCCATTCATGCTTATAACAGAGACAGACGGTTTCATAGAGTTTTACAGAATGATGGATGTTAAAACTTGTGGTCCAGTATTTCAGCTTTGGAGCTGATTGATTAATAAATGTTTTGGGTAAAGTTTTCCTTTCAGCCACCCTGTTGGTTCAGGACTGGTATTCCAGTATAACATACATATTTAATACAGAGTAGAGGATACACCTTTGTAGCCTGACTTTCCTGCTTCATTCAACATATTGTCAAGATTTTAATTTAGTTAAACTCTTCTAAAATCCACATATATCCCTGTTAGAATCATTGTTACTTGAGTTTTAGGTTGATTGATTTTACTGTATTCTGCTCATCAGCAGGTATTTGTAGGCTTTTAGCAGATAAACTCCATATCAGTAATGCATGGCTCTTTTTCTGCTGTTGACATCAGATCATAACAAAATGTTCGATTCTCGTTCCAGATTCTATGACAAGTTTGAAGAATCAGATCTAGTCAAGTTCTTTGGGAATCTGTTCTGTGCAGCAGCAGAGAGAGAACAGCAGACAGGAGAGAAGATACTGGAGCTGTTATCACCATACTTGGATGAAGATGATGATGAATATCGTTGTGGTTTCCTGCTGGATCTGTGCTCCCACCTGAAGGACTATGAGACTAAAACAGGCTTGAGGGTCCTTCCATCATTACAGTCAGTTTTCCAGTCAGCTCCTGCAGTCTGGTCCATAAACCTCTCAGAGAGAAAGACCTCCATCCTCCTGGAAGTGCTGAAACTCCAACCAGAGAAGAAACCAGTGGAGCTGACAGGCTGGTCAGATGAAGAGAGTGAAGTGAGGAGTTTCCTACAGTGTCTGCCTTATATCTCACAGCTCAGGTAAATGAATTGTACTTCACATGACTTCAGTGCAGCCTTTCCCGGAGTTACATGAGTGAACTCACTGGATTGTGTTGGGTGTTTAATTTGTATGTAGCTTATAAACTTGTTGGTATTGAACGCAGTTCTTGTAATGCGAGTAAACACAACCTGCAAGGATTCACCTTAAATCTGGCTTACTACAGCAGCATGAACCCAAAGTAAACATTGACTGTGGTTAAATTGTAATAAACGGATCAAAATGATGCTGACATAACTTCATCATGATGCTGATTTGCTAAACATATGACTTCATGCTTAGTCAGGTCCGTCAGCAAGATGATAAGCAAACAACTTTTAAAATGCTTGTTCTCTAAATGGCGTTTGGATCGATCAGGGCTATGCTAACTGGTATTGTAGCAAAGTAGAACAACAGCTGGAATCAAGTAACAGAAACACATTTTCAGATCTTACCAGGTAGTTCACCTTCCTCGCTTACTTTCTCCAAGTAATCTCCTGTTTTGTCCGGTTTCTATAAAAATATTAACAAGTATCACAGAGCAACTCGATGGCTCGCTGCAGCAGATGAGTGAAGATAAATCCACTTTTTATCCCAAATATTTAAATTAAAAAGTTAATTTAATAAACTAAAAGAAGTCTGAGCTCCTTCTGCGGGTAAATGTCTCCTTGATAGACCTGAATCCAGTGCAACTGCATGTGTTTAACTGTCCAGAAACTCCAACGCTGCCCCGGCTCTCTCCTTCAGATCTCCCTGTCACTCAGCAGCTGGGCGAGCAGAGGCTTTGTCCTTCAACTCTGCCTGAAACACGGCGATACACGAGAATGTTTCACTCAAATTAACTATGTTTTCAATATTGTACTACAGCCATAGGTGTCGCTAGACCCTTTTCACTGGGGCACGTGCCCCTGTATCCTTGTGCTGTGCCCCAGTAAGACTGTCAAGATTGGTGTAGTTTTTGGACGTGTAGGGCTCCGCGGTCAAGTTAGCAATAACATAGATGCAACGTCCGGTTACACTTTCAAAATAAAACTATTGGTTAATGTGAAAGGCACTTTGTTAATGATATGAAATGTAGCAAAAAACGAGTCAATGTTGAAAGCTGGTGATTATAACGGTGATGAGAGGATAGACAGGGGCTATCCTTTTGAGCACAAGAAGAGAAAATAACTCAATGACAGTGACTTTCGGGAACAGCAGTCAGGTAAACTTGTGTTCTCTTTTCTGAAAGTCTGATGTGAGCAGGTTCATGTGCAGCTGCAGGGAATCTCTCTAGTCCGTCTGTCCTGCTACCCAGCAGGGCAGCTCTGTCTGTGTCTTGGTTGCTTGCCAGACTGAACAATATTAGAGTGAAATACAACTGTTTATTACCTTTGATATATGAGACAGGCAACAATTTTTATGAACTGCAGCATGGAAATGATAACTACGTTGTGCGTGAACATGCGCTCATACGTGCGTGCATGAAAAGCGGTGAACGGTGCTACAGTCCACAGCTGGACCTTATTACATTCCAGCAGCAACATTAGTGGGACCAGGCCAGACAGAACACAGCTGTGATGGCACTCCTCACATCGTTTTAAAACGTGACAGTGATGATCTGTCTCTCAGTGAAGGTTTAGTTACAACTCTGGACTAACGCCTGATGGAAAGCAGTGGATTCACATTGACTATTAAAATGTTGATTAGTGGAGCAGACTGGACAACGTGGATGCACATCTCTCAGTAAATAATAAACCTCAAATATTCAGTCAAGTCATGGTATAAATTAGAGCTGGACAATAAAACAATAACAATAATTATCACAGTATAATTTTCCTAAATAACAAGATAAATGTTTATTTGAATCATGAACGAATTAGCACTTTTTCTTTTAAGCTATTTATTTTGTTAAGGAAAAAGGGACTGAAAAAAAAGATGTAACTTAATTTTACTCTTGCATATTTGTTGAAAAAAAGAGTTTAACATTATTGTTTTGAATGTTCTACCTCAGATTTGTGAAGTGATCCACTGTTTGGCAAGTGATTTTCATGTTTTGACCATAAAATAGTTTAAACCACAATTAACTATCTGGTTACAGTTACATTACATTTACTCATTTAGCTGACGCTTTTATCAAAAGCAACTTAGAATTGCTATATACAGTCCCCTCCAAAAGTATTGGAGCGGTAAGTCAAATTCCTTTGTTTTTGTTGTTCACTGAAGACATTTGTGTTTAAGATCAAAAGATGAGTATGAGACAAGAGTTCGGAAAAACAGGAATTTGCTTTACCGTTCCAATACTTTTGGAGGGGACTGTATGTCGGGGGTTGCACGCCTCTGGAGCAACAAGTGTCTCGCTCAGGGACACTTTGTTGGATGTCACAGAGGGAAGTGACCCTGGGTTTCTCACACCAAAGGCATGTGTTCTATCCACTGCACCATCACCACCCCTTCAGCTTTCACTAAGGAGCAAAAGTCAGCCTTTAAACTTGATAGGAACCTAATTTGACATTTGTCCTGATAATTATTGATATCGAATGATATGATTTTTTATTGCGATAACAATTTCGTCGATATCGCCTAGCCTTAGTATAAATAAATTTTAGCTTTGAAAATGCTAAAGGAAACCTGGGGAGCCAGTTTGAATGGGCCTGAAGCAGCTGATAAAATGAATATCTTAAGCAAGTATTGATATCTATTATTTGCAGGGGCTATAACTGAAGTTTGGCAGTAGAGTAGATTCTGGATCATAAGCCCGTACGAGCACAGTTGATCCAGATCCAGCACAGACCCAGTCCAGACGTCTTTAGCAGGTCACACAGACCCAGGTGAAACACAGGCAGCCTCAGCCAGTACGAGCACAGCCAGAGATGTTCAGCCAGCATCAGACTTCTAGAAGAGGTTTCCATTCATGCTTATAACAGAGACAGACGGTTTCATAGAGTTTTACAGAATGATGGATGTTAAAACTTGTGGTCCAGTATTTCAGCTTTGGAGCTGATTGATTAATAAATGTTTTGGGTAAAGTTTTCCTTTCAGCCACCCTGTTGGTTCAGGACTGGTATTCCAGTATAACATACAATATTTAATACAGAGGAGAGGATACACCTTTGTAGCCTGACTTTCCTGCTTCATTCAACATATTGTCAAGATTTTAATTTAGTTAAACTCTTCTAAAATCCACATATATCCCTGTTAGAATCATTGTTACTTGAGTTTTAGGTTGATTGATTTTACTGTATTCTGCTCATCAGCAGGTATTTGTAGGGTTTTAGCAGATAAACTCCATATCAGTAATGCATGGCTCTTTTTCTGCTGTTAACATCATATCATAACAAAATATTCAATTCTCGTTCCAGTTTCTTTTTCTGGTTTAGAGGCTCCGGTGAAGTCAAGTTCTTTGGGAATCTGTTCTGTGCAGCAGCAGAGAGAGAACAGCAGACAGGAGAGAAGATACTGGAGCTGTTATCACCATACTTGGATAGTTATGATGATGAATATCGTTGTGGTTTCCTGCTGGATCTGTGCTCCCACCTGAAGGACTATGAGACTAAAACAGGCTTGAGGGTCCTTCCATCATTACAGTCAGTTTTCCAGTCAGCTCCTGCAGTCTGGTCCATAAACCTCTCAGAGAGAAAGACCTCCATCCTCCTGGAAGTGCTGAAACTCCAACCAGAGAAGAAACCAGTGGAGCTGACAGGCTGGTCAGATGAAGAGAGTGAAGTGAGGAGTTTCCTACAGTGTCTGCCTTATATCTCACAGCTCAGGTAAATGAATTGTACTTCACATGACTTCAGTGCAGCCTTTCCCTGAGTTACACGAGTGAACTCACTGGATTGTGTTGGGTGTTTAATTTGTATGTAGCTTATAAACTTGTTGGTATTGAACGCAGTTCTTGTAATGCGAGTAAACACAACCTGCAAGGATTCACCTTAAATCTGGCTCACTACAGCAGCATGAACCCAAAGTAAACATTTTACTGTGGTTAAATTGTAATAAACGGATCAAAATGGTGCTGACATAATTTCATCATGATGCTGATTTGCTAAACATATGACTTCATGCTTAGTCAGGTCCGTCAGCAAGATGATAAGCAAACAACTTTTAAAATGCTTGTTCTCTAAATGGCGTTTGGATCGATCAGGGCTATGCTAACTGGTATTGTAGCAAAGTAGAACAACAGCTGGAATCAAGTAACAGAAACACATTTTCAGAACTTACCAGGTAGTTCACCTTCCTCGCTTACTTTCTCCAAGTAATCTCCTGTTTTGTCCGGTTTCTATAAAAATATTAACAAGTATCACAGAGCAACTCGATGGCTCGCTGCAGCAGATGTGAAGCCTCAGCCAGAGATGTTCAGCCAGCATGAGACTTAATAGACTTTATGAGGACTAACCCTAACCCCTACACACTGATTTTAATGAACCATATGTCTTAAAGTGGTTCACATTTTGAGCTCTTAATCATTTTTATTTTTAATCCACACATGTGATTGGTCATGGATGCTGGATTGGAGCTCATTTATTGGCTCCCCTGACTCTAATATAGCCAAGAAAAGAGCTGTAACTGAGCAGGATGTTTGAACAAAGAATGATTAAGAGGAGTGAATGAGGGGATTTTTATTAAGTGGTTTATTATCAATATTGAAAATAAACCGTGTTATCAGGATGTGGTCAGTAAACCACTAGAAATCCTAATTATGTTCCACTAGTACTGTATGAAGTTTCATAGAGTTTTACAGAATGATGAATGATAAAACTTGTGGTCCAGTATTTCAGCTTTGGAGCTGATTGATTAATAAATGGTTTGGCTAAAGTTTTCCTTTCAGCCACCCTGTTGGTTCAGGAGTGATATTCCAGTATAACATACAATCTTTAATACAGAGATCATAACAAAATGTTCAATTCTCGTTCCAGTGTCTCTTGTTGGTTTATAGGCTCACGAGAAGTCAAGTTCTTTGGGAATCTGTTCTGTGCAGCAGCAGAGAGAGAACAACAGACAGGAGAGAAGATACTGGAGCTGTTATCATCAGTGTGCAGATATCAAACATTCCCTCTTAAGAGAGAAACATGGATGAAGATGATGATGATGATTACAAATATCAGAGTGGTTTCCTGCTGGATCTGTGCTCCCACCTGAAGGACTATGAGACTAAAACAGGTTTGAGAGTCCTTCCATCATTACAGTCAGTTTTCCAGTCAGCTCCTGCAGTCTGGTCCATAAACCTCTCAGAGAGAAAGACCTCCATCCTCCTGGAAGTGCTGAAACTCCAACCAGAAAAGAAACCGTGGAGCTGACAGGCTGCTCAGATGAAGAGAGTGAAGTGAGGAGTTTCCTACAGTGTCTGCCTTATATCTCACAGCTCAGGTAAATGAATTGTACTTCACATGACTTCAGTGCAGCCTTTCCCTGAGTTACATGAGTGAACTCACTGGATTGTGTTGGGTGTTTAATTTGTATGTAGCTTATAAACTTGTTGGTATTGAACGCAGTTCTTTTAATGCGAGTAAACACAACCTGCAAGGATTCACCTTAAATCTGGCTCACTACAGCAGCATGAACCCAAAGTAAACATTTTACTGTGGTTAAATTGTAATAAACGGATCAAAATGATGCTGACATAATTTCATCATGATGCTGATTGCTAACATATGACTTCATGCTTAGTCAGGTCCGTCAGCAAGATGATAAGCAAACAACTTTTAAAATGCTTGTTCTCTAAATGGCGTTTGGATCGATCAGGGCTATGCTAACTGGTATTGTAGCAAAGTAGAACAATAGCTGGAATCAAGTAACAGAAACACATTTTCAGATCTTACCAGGTAGTTCACCTTCCTCGCTTACTTTCTCCAAGTAATCTCCTGTTTTGTCCGGTTTTTCTAAAAAATAAACAAGTACACAGAGCAACTCGATGGCTCGCTGCAGCAGATGTGAAGCCTCAGCCAGAGATGTCAGCCAGCATGAGACTTAATAGACTTTATGAGGACTAACCCTAACCCCTACACATGATTTAATGAACCATATGTCTTAAAGTGTTCACATTTTGAGCTCTTAATTTTATTTTTAATCCAAACATGTGATTGGTCATGGATGCTGGATGGAGCTCATTATTGGCTCCCTGACTCTAATATAGCCAAGAAAAGAGCTGTAACTGAGCAGGATTTTGAACGATGAATGATTAAGAGGAGTGAATGAGAGGATTTTATTAAGTGGTTTATTATCAATATTGAAAAAAACCGTGTTATCAGGATGTGGTCAGTAAACCACTAGAAATCCTAATTATGTTCCACTAGTACTGTATGAAGTTCATAGAGTTTACAGAATGGAATGATAAAACTTGTGGTCCAGTATTTCAGCTTTGGAGCTGATTGATTAATAAATGGTTTGGCTAAAGTTTTCCTTTCAGCCACCCTGTTGGTTCAGGAGTGATATTCCAGTATAACATACAATCTTTAATACAGAGATCATAACAAAATGTTCAATTCTCGTTCCAGTGTCTCTTCTGGTCTAGAGGCTCAGGTGAAGTCAAGTTCTTTGGGAATCTGTTCTGTGCAGCAGCAGAGAGAGAACAACAGACAGGAGAGAGATACTGGAGCTGTTATCATCAGTGTGCAGATATCAAACTTCCCTCTTAAGGATGAAGATGATGATGATGATGATGATTACAAATATCAGTGTGATTTTGCTGGATCTGTGCCCACCTGAAGGACTATGAGACTAAAACAGGCTTGAGAGTCCTTCATCATTACAGTCAGTTTTCCAGTCAGCTCTTGCAGTGGTCCATAACCTCTCAGAAAGAAAGACCTCCATCCTTGGAAGTGCTGAAACTCCAACCAGAGAAGAAACCAGTGAAGCTGACAGGCTGCTCAGATGAAGAGAGTGAAGTGAGGAGTTTCCTACAGTGTCTGCCTTATATCTCACAGCTCAGGTAAGTTGTAGAAATATGTCAATTTTTTCCTAATCTACGGTCATATACAAATAAACATAATGTAGATAAGGTTGAATGCCATTTGTTTAGTAATTATTTAGCAGTACATATTATCACAGCTAAACAAACATATACAATTAGAGTATTCCATCCTACTGTATGTGTTTTCTCTGAATTTCTCCTTTGATTGAAAGACTTTGTATATTAGATGGGTTTGTAACCAGGGCTTGACTTCTTTGCTCAACAGCCAATGCGGCTGGTGGTTCCAAAGTTACTAGCATGCAGCATTTTCACTAGCACATTTGTGTTGTTGGAAATTACATTTTTTCATGATTAAAGTGCTTAATTGGCGTGCTATAATGTACTAATATTCATTAGCTCTGATAAGGTTGTGTGTAAAAATCCTTTAGAAAACATATAGTCTTAAGTAAAACACAATAAGAGCAGCTTTTCTTGTATAATAAAAGTGCTGCGTGGGTGTAAAATATAAACTGAAAAGATAAAAACTAAACTGAAAAACTATATTCACCAGAAACATTGTTTAAATCCTATTATTTATAAAAGCAGCGGCTAAATACTGTAATACAGAGTAGAAAAATTATCTGCATTAGAAACAAAGAGCAAAAATGACAAGACAAATGTTTAACTAATGGGACCAATATGTGCGGGTAGTACTCATAGGAGTTGTAGTGTTATAGTGTCACATTGCAATTCGTTTGTTATTTATGCCTTTTGACTAGATTACAATTGTCAACAGGCCGAAGTGGCTAGTGGGAGGTGACTGTGTTACCGCCACAGCCGAAATCCACCCGCATTTGGCGGTTGTTAATGTCAGGACCTGTTTGAACTCAGTATGTGCTGTACTTTACCTTTGCTGTTTTCACTCTTCATGCATCATTTGTGTTTTAGCTGTGATCCAGAGTTCTTCCAGAGTCTGTGTGCAGTCATCTCTGTAAGATCCAGAGAGGCAGAGCAGTTGGCCTCTGTGCTGCAGCTCCTGGGCTTCACCCTGCTGTTAACAGGGAGTTACACAGGAAAACCTGCAGGTCTGTGGGAGGGTTCTCAGACTGTGTGGCTCTGATGTGGTGGCCTGACACCGAGAAAGATGTCTGTGAGGAGCCTCCTGCTTCAGCTGTACAACACAACTCCACAGTCTGAGGTTCACATTTATATCATTACCTTTGCTCTTTAACACCATCTCCCCAGTTGGATGTCCAGTTAGTTGTCGAACGTCTTTACGTCACAGCTGCTCTCTCTTTGGTTTCCAGGCTTTCCAGCGACATGGCTTGCTACTGTGTCGATGGGTGAGAAGAGGGAGAGCGGCCTGTCCGTTGGCTGTTGAAGAGCTTTCTCGGCCCCTCAGAAAGCCGACCATCAGACAGAGTGCTGTTGAAGGTCGTCAGTAGTTTGGCGTCCCTGCGAGATCCTGGGCAGTCAGACGGTTGGACCTGACTGAGTTCTGCGTCCCTGTTCGGGTCTCATCCTCTGCTGCTGCACGACGGCCCTCTAACCATCAAGTAAACGTCTTTCCTGAGCCTCATCAACACGTACTAATCAATGAACATGCTAAATGTATTAATACTTCACTTTTTATCTGCAGACTGAGTCAGGAGATTTTCCAGCAGCTCCTCTCCCTCCCCATGAAGTCCAGGACGAGGTCTTGACCCGGTCCTTCTTGAGTAAGGTTGGTGGAGACCTGAGCGCCTGCTGTCTGAACTGGAGCTTCTTCACTATCTGCTGCAGCAGTCGTCAGCTCAGACCATCGCTGTGAACCTGAGGAGGAACTCTTCTTACAGGAGAGCGTACACGTCTGCTTCCCTTTCTGGACGGGATTTAAAAGGTGATCACTTTTTTTGTTTTACAGAAACAGAGAGTCCAGCTGATTTTACAGCAGTTTGTTCATTCTTTGACTGAACAAAGTGACCCGGTGAACCACACTTTCTGCTTTCAGGCCCAGCCCGGCTTTGTGTTGACTGCCATCAGAGAGATCTATAAAGCTCGTGCCAGTCCCATTATACCCAGTTTACTGAGGTCACTGGATCATGTGATCAAACCTGACCTGCAGAGAGATGGACTCTGTGGACTGGTGCTCTGCTCTTCACCCTCAAACACAGTGACAGAGTTAAACTGAACCTCCAGTGGACCTCCATACCACCAGGGGACCGAGTCCATCCTCTTTACGCTGGACAAAGTTTCTCAGCTCAGGTCAGACATTCGTTTCTCAGAGCTGTGGCTGGATCGTTCTCTCCAACACACAGGGATAATGCACCTTTACCTGGAGAACCTTGGAAAAATTATAATATATGACGTAAAAGATCATTCTGGTTCTTTACAAACTGGTTCCAAATCTTCAGCTTATCTTAATAATCCTTTAACATTGTGGTGTTTATGGTCAGATATTTGTTCAGATGTTTATATTGATGTATTTTTGAATCCATGTTCCCTCCAGTGTGGACAGGAACCTGCTGCTGAGGCTGGTGCACTGCTGTGCTGCCTCCGACGCCCAGCAGGGGGCAGCAGTCGGCCTGCTCAGGACTGGCAGGAAGGCTGGATCTGTCCTGCTCCTCCTGTGTGGAGCTGCCAGAGGAGGATCAGAGCGAGACTCTCAGTCTGACGGTGAGGACTGCGGGCCGTCTCCGCCATCCTGAGACGCAGCGTCCGGGACATACAGCTCAACTGCAGGACTGCGAGGTGGAGGACAGCGGACTGGACCTGCTGTTTCCTGTCCTCCGCAGAGTCCGCCTCAGGTGGGAAAGACCACAGCGTGACCTAAACCAGAGAAGGAGCTTGTTCTCATGTTGATGCATCGTAACAGTCTGTTCTTTGCTCTGATTGGCCTGTTTAGAGCCAGTAAAGCTGTCCTCCTCCAGCTGGTGTCCCTGGTTCCGGTGAACAGTGAGGGGGACACAGTGAGACGGGCGGTGTCCCTGTGTAGAGCCCTGGACGGAGAGCTGGACCTCAGTCACACCTCACTGGATCAGAGGGCCTGTGGAGCTTTGGCCCTGATGCTGGACTTCTCTGAAGGGCTGACCGAGCTGGACCTCAGTCACTGTGAGCTCACGACCAGCTGCTGCTCACACTCTCACAATCTGCACAAAGTCCAGGTCCTGGAGTGAGTGTCCCCATGTACAACACATGTGATCATGTGACTAAAATGCGTACAGCGCTGTGTGGGCTCTGTCCTCGGCAGTAATAAATGTAGCGCCGTGTCTCTGTTTGTGTTTGTGTGCATGTTACAGTCTGAGTCACATAAGATCTCTGATGCTTCAGCTGGAAAGTTACTCCACCTGGTCTCCATCAAACCCCTCCATCAGCACTGTGCGGTGAGCAAACATTAATAGTGCTCCGTTCATTTATGAAGACATTTGTGCTCACAGAGAAATCCTTCATGATCTCAGACGAG